CACAAAGTTTAATAAGACCCTGGGTCTCAAAAAGAAAAAAAGTAAACAAGCCAGGTATGTTGGTACAAGCCTGTAATTCCAGCACTCTGGGAGGCTGAGGCAGGAAGATTCACAAGTTCAAACTCAGTCTGGGCAACTTAGCAACTCAACAAAGCCTTGTCTCAAAAGAACAAACACGGCAGGGTTGGAGATATGGCTCAGTGCAAAGGCTGTGAGTTCAATCCCAGAACCCCTCCCAAAAAAGTAAGACAAGCTGGGCATGGTGGCGCATGTTTGTAATCCCAATTGCTACTTGGAAAGTTGAGGCAAGAGGATCACAAGTTCAAGTTCAGCCTGAGCAATTTAGCAAGACTTTATCTCAAAAATAGCATTTGTATAGAGACTGGAAGTGTAGCTCAGTGGAAGAGTACTTCTCTAGCATGCATAAGACCCCCAATTCACACCCGCCCCAAGTCATACCACAAAAAAAAGCAAAGCAAACTTTTTCTTGACTTAGGTAATGAGTAGCTGAAGTGTCTGTTTTGCTTTTTTAAAAATTTAAACAGTGTATCTATGTCTCCAGGCACTTTTATATGCATTTCCCATTTCACTATTTAAAACAGTGCCTTTCCTGCTAGAGTGTTGGAGGAACAAGCGCCTCTCATGGGGGCAGGGGGCTGGCCAAAGCTTCTCATTGCTCCTCCTGGTCTCCACGGTGAGCAGGCAGGAGACAGAACATCATGTGAACAGAACCTGTGCTGGAACCCAAATGTGTCTTGAGTCAGAAGCATGAAGAACCAGGACGGCAGCAATGAAATTTGGAGTTCCTCCTTCTTGTTCTGGGAAAGTTAGGATAAGGCTCCAAAATCCCTGGGGGATTATCCCGGAGGACTGTCACGGGAAAGAGAATCTCAGGGGAAGGCCCCTGGGCAGCACCCTCAGACCCTCCCTTCCAAGAAAGGCTCAATTCCTGCGGCTGCGCAGGGCTAAGGTGCTCGATCTCCTCTCCTGATTCTCAGCTTCTGCAGTATGTCAGGACAGAACCAGCATATGCTTACGTTTGGCCACGCACCCCAAGATGCAGAAAGCTCTACCATGTGCTGTTTTACTTGCAGCACTGGGGATGCTAGGTAAGCACTCTATCGCTGAGCTATACTCCTAGCCTTATCTTTTATCTTAAATTTTTTTTTTTTGATTCGGCATCTCACCATGCAGTCTAGACTGGCCTCAAACGCACGATCTTCCTGCTTCAGCCTCTTGAGCGCTTGGATCACACAAGTGTGTACCACCATGCCTGGCTAAGCCTATTTAAATTTTATTTTGAGAAAGGGTCACGCTAAATTGGCCGGGCCAGTCTCTGACTTGTGATCTTCCTGCTCAGCCTCTGAAGTAGCTGGGATTACAGACCTGCACCACCACACCCAGCAGACCTCATATTTTTAACAGGGTCTCTTTCTGCCGAGTTCCCCTAAGCTCCTCCCTACACCCATCCTCACTGGAGCTGGACAATGACTCTCCCAGCTGGAGCATGCTGGTGTACTTTTGGTTTGTCAGCAATCTCTATAGCTGGCTACTCTATCATCTCCTCCCAATAAATAGGGAATCTGCAGCAAAGAACTAGGAAATGAGAACAAATGAATCAAGACACAAACTCCAGTGATTAAACAGGATTCTGAGCCACAAGTGGCAGGAGAATGTGACTGAACTGTTGGGCTCCCGGTGCAGGACTATCTACCGAGATATCCTTCTAGGAACACACCAATGTTCTGAGTTGTGGAAAAGGCCCCCCCAGTATTTGCACATATCTCCCCCTTGCATCAGCGTTTGTAATGGTTGATTGATTATGTCAACTTGAGAAGTTTAGAAGCTTAACTAAACTTGGCTCAGCAACTGGCTCAGCAATTCTACAACCTAGGGTGTAGAGGAGCCACCCTAGGGTGGATTATCACCTAGATAATATATAAGGGAAAAGAGAAAGGACAGAGGAACTTCCATTCCTTTTGGAGGAGCTCCAGTCTTCACCAACAGCCTGCTTCTTCTTCTCCACCTCTGCCTCTTATGCAGCTGGCAGCAGTCCTCAGGTGGGCCTCCCATACCCAGCACCACACTCACTCAGTTCAGCTGGGGGTTATCAGTTGACCACCAGTTATCAATCTACTACAATGCTCATTCTCAGGTTATTTTTCTGTTATAGTTAGAGTTTAAAGATTGCTGCTTAACTATCTTTCTTTCCTTTCACTGGTCTTCCCCACCCCCAATTACAGATCACAGATCCCAGGCTACCACAGGAGAAATTTACAGGGCTGAGGGAAGAGCACAGCCGAGTGCAGTCTTGCCTAGCACCCACAAGACCCAACGTTCCACCTGCAACACTGAAAAAGAAGTTTACAGGCACAGTATGATCCTCCACAGTGCTGAGGGACTAGAAGACCACAGGAGCCCTGAAAACTGCTGGTTGTCACTAGCAAAGCATCACTCAGATCTCTTTGGTAGAAACTAAAAATTTTTCCCCTTTCCCATGGAAGCACTTGAGACAGAGACTCATGTTTTTGCAACTTTCTCAAGATGATTTCATTTAATGCACTTAACCCATCACAACACCTGGCACTATCAAAAAAAAAGCAGAAGTGGTTCTGGTCTCCAAAGTTCAACATGAAAAGAAAAGGAAGCCAAAACTGCTGATTTGTCTCAGCCAAACACAGGTGCGGGGCAGAAAGTATTCATAACTAAACTGTCTCCCTTTTTTCGGTACCACCATCAAATCTAGAGCCAGTCAGCTTCTACCTGGTTCCAGAACCATTCCCAGGTCCAGAGCCAGTGATGGAATTTTTCCACCCCTGGAAAACTGTGTCACTCTTGGAAAACAACTTTTCCAGCACTGGAAAACAAGTTTGGACACACTCCAATATTCCTAGTCCCTTTATTTAGAAAAGGGCTCAGAAGAGTTGGGTGATTTGCCTGCCATCACACAGTAAATCAAACTGCAGTGGCCCCCAAATCCAATCCGGGTGGGAAGCCTCCACCCCATAGTAAACATGTTGTGATCAAGCAGAGGTAAACAGGAAAAGGCTCTTCATGGCTCCCCTCCCCTCCCCCAGCAGCTATGTTTTCTTCTCCTTGCAGCCAGTCTGGGTCCACAATGCTGAGCTCAACTTCTTGGGTAATTTTTTTTTTTTAAAGGGGGAGATATCTTTTTCTCCTACCTGCTCTCAATTCCAGTTCAGGACAGTTCAGCACTAAATATCAGGTATAGAGTTGGTGCTGTATCTGCCCCTGACTAGAATGAGGGTGCCACCAAAAATGAGAAAAAGATACAGAAGGGTAGGAACAATGAGCTGAAGGCAGCCTTATCTGGAGAGACAAAGACACTGCAGCCCCCATACCTCAGCCAGCACAACTTTGCTGGGGAAGGCATCTGGGGAAATGAATGGAGCTGCCGTATGCACTGCAGGCAGGAGCTGAGCTGCAGAGAGGAAATTTCCAAAGCTGACTCTGTTGGACTCAGGGTGAGGGTCCCATCTGTCCAAGAATCAGGGTTTGCTGGCCAGATTCCTCTGGACCAGTCTAAGATGAGGCAAAAGTCTGCAGCAGAAGACTTGCCTCCCTCCAACAACATTTAGGAAAACCCTTTCCCTTCACCATCTCCCTTAAATCAGGAAATACACCTCCTGACCAACGGGGTAGGCTGAGGGGTGACACTGGGATGTATACCAAGGAGTTCATGGCCTGACAGAATGGCAAGTTTCATGCACAGCCTATCAACAGAGCTCACCTTAGACACGAGGCCAGCCCAAACCCCTGAAAAGGGTAGCAATAGAACCAGAGGTAGCAACAGAACCAATCTGAATATTTACCACTCATTTTAAAAGTACATGCAACAAAGAGCTACTTGTTCCCCTTCCCAAGGAACACAGGGGCACAGACAGTGAACACAGGTAAAAGAACACACTCACCTGTGCTCTGACTTCCTGACTCCCAGCTGCTCAGGCCAAGTGAGGAATGTCATTGGCTTATTCTGGTGAGCTCCTTAGTGCCTGCTGCCATAGGATACAGGCTTTATTTAACCTAATGGGAGTCCTTTATGAACTGCTAGCCCAGACCCTGCACCCTCTCCAGAGAAAATCCCCCTAAGGCGTCAATCTCCAAGACACCTAAATTCCTTCCCTGGGCTGACATCCCGATCAGCCCTGTTATGAGCTGGCTTGAGAAGCAGGAGCCTGCAGTCCTGGTGGCAGCTCCAGTGAAGGTGCATTATTTATCAAGGTTGCTGTTTTAATTGATACCAAGATACATTCAATACAGCTCACCAATCGTCTGGACAATCTCAGGCTGGAAAATATACAGCTCCATGTGAATGGCTCTTTCAGATTCTAGTTTTAGCTGCCGGCTCAGCATGTGTGCAACTTGAACCGAGGCCCCAACCAGCCCAAGCACAGCTCGGCCACCTGTCAGTTCTCCACCCTGGGGGGTTGGTTCAGCAGGCAGGGAGGGATCTCAAAGCACTAGCTTAAACTCGGGCTCCACCTAATGGCAAGAAACCCACACCCCCCACTCCCTTTCATAGAGGAACAAATTGAGCTTCACCCAGGAAGGTGAACAAAAATCCCAATGGGAGACCTACTGGCAAAAGAAACTAATGGTCACCTACTCGGCCTCCCACGCTGCAATTTGCTCCCCTGCTATCCTACAGGAGGGAGAGTGATGTCAACTTTTTAGTTAGCATCTTGTATTTCTCCAGTCCTTTGTCTGAGAATAGCACTTCACACACGTTATTTCCAACAATCTCAGATGGGTGAGTCACTAGAACGTCTGGGAATAATGGGAAACAGAGGCCTGAAATGGAGCTGACAAACAGAGGCACAAATGGTACCTGACGTCGCCCCTAGGATTCTAGCCCAATATCCGTTCATCTTCGCTGACCTTCGGCTGGCTTCACCACTTGGATCCAGTTAAAGCACTTCTGTGCGGGTGGGGAAGACTACGTGACGGGCTGGGCTTGCCAGGAGACGATCTGCGCTCACCTTTAAATCAGGAGGCTTGCTTCGGGAACCCGGGTTGGGTGCCGCCCCAGCGATCGCATCTGAAGTTGGCCCGCCCGCGGAGTTAGCACCCGCGGCCTCCCCGGGCCGGAGGTCCGCGCCAGGCAGGTGGCAAGCTGCATCCTCCAGCCCAGCTCCATCCTCCTCGCCCGGCTGCTGCTGCAGCTCGTCCGATTTGCACCTCTTCATGGTGTATGTGGGTCTGCAAGGGGACTCTGTCCTTCCAGGGCGCCGTCTTGGGGGAGACCGCACCCCCTCGCACGCTCAGAAATGAGGCCTGGGGTCTAAATTATTAAGGAAAGGAATCGGCAGATCACAATTTCTTATATTTTAAAAAAAAATTTTTTTTTAAAGGAGGTTGAGGGAGAGCCTTGGAATAGCTGATTCCGATCTGGGGAGCGAAGGCAGGTCACAGTCGAGGCTGGGCAGCAGGAGTCCTTGGGCAGTCATTGTGAGGGAGGGGGAAGGTAGCCCCCAGCCCTCAAACTTTGTGCTTCAGGGCATGGGCTGGGCGGAGGGGAGCTGGGCGCACAGCGCATCCCTCCCCGCCGGCCGGGCTGCAGGGCGAGGCAGGGCGC